TTTTACCCTAACTCCCTAGGCAATTCCTTCCTCCTGTTCTTACCACACCATCCCCTGAAGGGGTTACCCAAATTGCCTACAGGGAATCGGGATGCAGACTGCTCTGGCTTCTTCCATGCTGAAAAGGGACACAGGGTGAGGCAATTGGGGTACCCCTTCAGTGGGTCTGTCTAAAAGACTCCCAAATTGCATAACTCTTAACTGTAGAGAGAAAAGAAAGTCCTTGACTGGTGACTAGGAGATGTGAAGGAGAAGCAAAGGCAAGGGTAGTTAGCATTACAAGTTCTAGACAGGGAACCAGAAAAAAGTCAGAACAGGGCAATTTTCAAAAGTTAATATCAGAGTCGCTTGGAATTTCTTGACGAGAGCTTCCAAAAGCATCCCTCCATTGGGTTCCTCCTCATTTTTCTTTTGTCTGCCAAGGCTGGACTTGAGAGTAATGGACTCAGAGTTTGTTTTCAGGCACTTTGATAGCTGTTGGAGTGGCTAAAATCAGTGTCAGTTCCCTCTAGGCTTCTAGATAGGGGGAGAAAACAAATGTATCCATCATTTTAGAACAAATAGCTGGTTGTGTCCCTTAGCTACAGGTGGGCACTACAATATTGCAGACCAAGATTTGAAGTCTTACATCTGAGCAGCACTTTGTGATTAGAAACAAAATCATCAATGAGAAACAATTGTCTAAATAACATTTTATTTGGGCTTAAGTCTAATGTCTGGGAAGTGTAATCCCTTGAAATCTTAAAGAAGTATACTGATGACTTTAATCTTTGGTTACACTTTACTTTTGGGTGTTTAAGGCTACATACAGTTGGTCCAGATAAACCAATTTATTTTTACTCTTAAGGCTGTTTGAGGATCTGTTCCTCAAGGGTCACATGGGCTTGGGAGGAGCCCCTGACTCTTTTCTTTTACCAGTTCTGCCTATGCGAAGATCAGTCAAAGGTCCTGCTTGACCATCAGTCCCCATGTTTTCTGAGACAAAGTCTCTCACTAAGACAGGGCTTGCCAGTTAGGATAAGCTAGGTGTTTAGTGAAACCCAGAAACCTTCCTGTCTCTGCCTCCCAAGTGCTGGGGTTACAAGCACATGCTACCATGCCTGGTTTTTTAAGTGAGTTCTCAAGTCCTCATGCTTGTGGGGCAAGCACTTTGCAGACTGAGCCATCTCCTCAGCTCTGACCATTGTCTCTTCTTACCAGTGCCAGAAGACACTGATCTGAAATGGGTTTGAGTTCCATTCAGGACTGACATAAGGAAAGGGTATTGTTCTGAGGGAAGCTCTTAAAACAATGTCAGTACAGAATAAAGCCAAAGAGAATTTAAGAGACTTGGATGTAATTGGGGCCACTGATTTTTTTTTAATACATATTTTTAGTAAGAGGAGTTTCTGACATGTCCTCTGACATTTTTTAAGTTATTTAGAATAAAGTAGTCCCCAGAGACTTTTTCCTGCTGGACTCTTCATTAGGTGAAACTTCACAGGGATTTTTGTGGCACTGGTGTGTTGTGTAATGTGCTATGTGAAGACTTAATAACAGTCAACATTTTTATGATCTTTGATGACTATTAAATGCCCCACAAAAAATGCTTTTGTCAGCCAACTCAACAACAATCTTCTAATAAATGTGAATTCAGTCAAATAATGATGAGCAAAATCACAAAGTAGCACTCAGAAGAAATGTTTGTTCTCAGGCCCCTTTTTTTTTTCCCAGGGAGTTTCCCAAATACCCTACCCCTCCCCATTCTCCTACAACACTTGAATCTTGTGTATTATATACACCCCTAATCCAGGATCTGCATACACACTCACACAACCGTGGAGCCCCTACAAGCTCCATCTATCACGTCATACAGTATCTGTTCAACCAACTAAACAATCTGGTTGAGTGACTCCTCTCTCTTCCCCCATAGAGCTGGAACACTGGCCATAGTCCCTCCAGTGATTTTATTGCATAGCCCAGTCAGGATATTTACCCATCTGGGGGTTTCCTTAGGATGCAGTCCAGGCCCCTTCCCAGGAAACACTAGCCCACCTGCATTGACTGTATTAGTATACCAGCATCACCCCACTTCTTGTTAGGATTGTGCTGCCCACCCTGAGCTACTCTGGGTGCTGATCCTCCTGCTCCACAGCCTCTCTGTACCCTTGGCTGTGCCTATGGGGTCTTCTTGGTTCAGAGGCCCCCTTCTCCAGGAATCTTCTCCCAAGCCCCCTCCATACAACTCTGAGTTTCCTGCCTCTCACATTTACTCTATGCACTCTCCCCCAGTGTGTTCCTGGAAGTTGGTGGTGGCTTTTTGTTGTTGTTTTCCAACTGTGGTAAAATACGCAGAACATGAAATTTACCATTCAACCATTTTAACTGTAGACATCAGTGGCGTTGAGTGAGCCATCATCACCATCCAGCTCTAAAACATTCTTGTCTGTATTCATTGTATACAGCATCTTCATGACTTTCTCCTCCAGCCCCGGGCAACCTCATTCTACTTTTTTTTTTTTTTTTTTTTTTTTTTTTTTTTTTTTTTTTTTTTTTTTTTTTTTTTTTTGGTCTTTTTGAGACAGGGTCTCCCTATAGCCCCAGCTGTCCTGGAAATCACTATGTAGAGCAGGCTGGCCTTGAACTCACAATGCCTCCTGAGTGCTGGGATTAAGGGCGTGCACCACCACGCCCGGCTAACTTTTTGTTTTTATAGATGTTACTGAATACCCCCTATCAATGGACTTGGACAGGACTTGTCGCTTTATGTCTAGCTTCTTTCTAGCATAAAGTTCTTAAGGCTCATCCATACTGTAGTACACATCAGAACTAGCTTTCTTTTCAGACTGGATAGTATTCCATTGTATATACCACATTTGGTTGATCTATTGGGCTGTTTCCACTTCTTGGTTTCCACTAGCAATGGTGCTAGATATCTGTTCAAGCCTCTGCTTCTAATAATTTTGGTTATGTATCTAATGATGGAACTGCTGGATCATATGGTAATTCTATTTTAACTTTTGGAGAAAGCAGCAGAATTTTGTTTTCCAGAGTGGCTTTGCCATTTTACATTCACCCCAGCAGTACACAAGAGTTTCTCTATCTCTATATCCTCACCAACATGTGTTGTTTTCTGAGGTTTATTTTTTAATGATAACTGCCCTGTGGGGTGTGACGTGATCCCTCATTCTGGTTTTAATTTGGGCAAGCAATATCATGGTTGCTTTTTCAATTATCTGAGTATCATGATGGATTGAAAAATCTGTAAGGGTGATGCCTTGCCTCTATTACCTACACACAGAGGCACACACCTCTTACAGTTTGTAGACAAGTAACTGAGTGACTGAAGGAGCGAGTCTTGGTCTCCACCCCACCCCAGGGAAGCATGCATCGTCTGAGTGACAGCCTTTTTAGACAGGCATGGGCCTTCAGTGGCCAAGCTGGAAACAGGAGCCAGTGCTTTATAAAGCTGGAAACAGGAGCCAGTGCTTTATACCTATTTTCCAGCACTGACATTTGCCTTCAGATGACCTTTAAACTATTCTTGAATAGAGAGTGGGTATTGAATGTGAAGAGGAAGAGATGAAGCAAAACTAACCAAAGGTGGCCAAGACCTCTGTTTGGGTCAAAGTCATCTAGATCCTGAACCCCCTGTGAGCAGGAAACAGAGCACCCTAGAGGTCAGTAGTAATAGTAGTAACGATACTTTGGGTCCTTTAGACAATGTCATGCTATTTGGACCAGACTATCTAAATTGTCATCTTTTACTCAACCTCTTGAGTGCTGGGATTACAGGTTTGCACCACCATGCCCAACTTCATAGAATGATACTTGACCCAGACAGACACCTTTGACCCTTTTGTTTTTCTGGATCAGACCTCAGTGACCAATGGGGGAGTCCCCTTTGTTGGCCATTTTCAAATGTGTCTTGTACAGAACCAGCATAGAGGACAAGCAGTGATGGCATCAGGCTAGATGTGGTGTATGTGGAGAGGGAACTAGATGGCAGGGAGAGCAGAGCCCCCCCATCCCCCATACGAGACAGCCCTCAGCACAATGGGGAAGAATCCAATAGTTGGTGGTTCTCACTATTCCTCTCACAGGGACTTTGGAGTCCCTAGCTCAAGGCCACACCTCTGAGAGCACCATAAGTGGGAACAAAACTGACTCCATTAGTGTTAGTGAAAACCCCACAGGAGATTGGTGACGTCACTGGTTTCCATTGGCCATAGTGAGGCAGGGATAAAAGGAATCTGGAAAGGAGCCCTCAAACCCCCCAAGGCCTTGGAAAGCCGACCATGCTGATTGTTTAATGTGGGCCAAATTGAAAACAGAGCCGTGGAAGCAGCTGCCCAGCCTGGCGAGGTCCACAGCCGCAGGAATCATGGGGTCCGTGGGATGACTGGAGCCTTCCATAAAGGGCCTCAGGATACAGCCTGGTTCCCCCATCTGTAACGCGAGAGGGTCTCCAAATCCCTTTGGCTTCAGAGTCCGTGCTTCTTCACTCGATCCTAGTTAGAAGGCCAGGAAATGGTGAGAGCCTGTGGTTCTTGGGAGCTGCCCAGATGTCTTTGGCAGCAAGTTGTTCAGTGTGACATGGTGCTGGGCTCGTTCAGGAGCGAAGGCTCTGGGAGTCAAGACCCAGGAGGAACATGGACAAGGCTGGTGGTGACACCATCTTCTGCTGGGTTTTGACCTTGGGTTCCCTCCTCTAGCTGGGTGATGCTTTCCCTCCAGAGCTGCAAGTGTTAATTCACCTTGCTCAGGATTTGTGGAGAAAGAGCTAGTGCTCCTTCTCCCTCCTGGACAGAGCTTCTCCCGCAGCAGGAACCACTCCACCTTTCTCTCACTTCAGTCTCTGTGAGAAGGAGGCTTTTCGAGGACCACACCCTATTCCCCAGCACAGTCTCTGGCCTGGCTCAGCATTTCCACTGGGACATGGGAGAAAGACCAGAATTGGAGGGCAGCTGATGGGAGCAGGAGGCTAGAGTGGTGATGACCAATGGGCATGCTCATTGTAGGAAACAGCAGCCGCTTCCAGACCGACCTCTGTCAGAGGCATTTGCAGGACCTGTCCCCCAGTAAGTGCCGCAGCACCATGCCAGACACCCAGAAGGAGACCAGCAGCATGTGGGGCCTGATGGTAATTGCCCAGCTGTTGGCTGGCATTGGCACGGTGCCCATTCAGCCTTTTGGAATCTCCTATGTGGATGACTTCGCAGAGCCCACCAACTCACCTTTGTATATCTGTGAGTCTTGAGCTTCAAGAGGGCTCTGGGCGGGGGGAGGGGGGGTAGGAAATTTAAGTCCTGGCGGGGAACCTGCTGAGGTCCTGGGAGCTAAAATGATCCTTTTGGCCCACAACACAGCGGATGCTGAAGACCTGTTGTAAATGCCAACTCTGTTACCTCCCACTTGTATGGACCTGGGCAAGCGGTTGACCCATGTTCTTACCTGCAGAACAAGCCAAGATTCTTTGCATGTGATTTGTGCTTTTGGATTTGTGAGCTAATATAGATGACCATCTAGTCACATATGGGCACAGTGTCCAACTCTTTGACATCATAACATGACATAGTCATCTACAAAGTCCACACTTGAAAGCCACACAATTGAGTTTACAAAATTGTAGAAGGAAAAATCACATAATGTTAAGTAAGTTTGCAATTTTGTGTTGGGATGCAGTCATAGCTACTCTGGGGTCCAAGTGGCCAGGGATTAGACACTGTAGATCTCAACCAACAATAGCTAGTGCTGTCGTCCAGTTCTCCAGGCTCATGTTGAGGAACACAGCACTTCTCTGAACACATAAGAAACAGGTAGCAGATGGCCAACTGATGCCCAACTCCATCCCTTAGAGCAAGCCATATTGAGCTTCCTTGGAGCCTCAGGTCACAGACCACACCCACAGGTTCAGTTTCTGTGATTTCCCCATCCCCCCCAACCCCCGCCACCCT